AGGCCACGCTGAGGATGGGAGACAGTCTCAGGAGGGTTTGCCCAGGCCTGATGGAAAACGATGTCAGGACAAACTGCCCTATAAATGCAAGGCAGCAATGTGCCTTTAAGTATGTCTGAGCCCTTTCCATGTGTTTTTCAGTTCAGCAGGGCTTTTTCAAATTGCATGCTGGCCAATCCATTGCTGGGACTGTACAGGTTGGAAAGGCAAAACGACCCCGGGCCTGGGTCAGGCTGGTGGCCCCATTTCCATCCCTCGATTTAGACAAATGCTGAGTATTAAACTGGCCTGCTGGACAACAGCAGGGGTCATGGGGGCCCACTTGCAAATTCTGTTTGGCCACCCATAGCTTGGGGGCTGCCCCACTTTGTGCTGACTTAGCATCTGTTTTTGGTTTCTGGTTGCTTATGAGAGCTGCATGGATGGCTCTGGGGGAACCTGGGATGGTTTGGCTGTCATGAGTCCTATTCCACATTCAGCCAGTGATGGGTCCACGCACCACCCACTTCCACGGTCCTCAGGAGGCCCTTTGGCTTTTCTTGTTTGTGCCTTAGGGCCTCTCCAACTGGGCAAACTGAGCCAAAAGGGCTGGCCACGAGGTTCTTTGTAACATTGGCCTCTTTCTGGGAGTAGGTAGCTGTGGTTTTTCTGGTGTCGTCAACCAGGGTAATAAGAACTTGAGACAGTTCCACAGAGAACACATGGGAACCTCTGAAATGTCAGCTGATGACACACAATATGGGGGAGAAAACAAATAGGATTAAGGAAATAAATCGCACTATGCACAGCTGTTCAGCAGAACTATTACGGAAAAAAATTGGGTGGGTAGGCAGGTGGCTTTTGGGAACCTGTGACTATGTTTCTCGTCTGACAGTCTCACCTGCCTCTTGCCTGACGTACAGCAGGGAGGAACACCCAAGATTGTCTCTGGAGTTGTGAGACCCCCCCAGTCAAGCCTCATTGAGAGTGAAGGGGTCCCAGATGGGTGGCCTCAGACCCCCAGGCTGCATGGCGGTGTTACTGGACACCCACAGCTCCAGGCTCTACATCTAATGCCTTCAAGGGCTTCCCATTGGCTCCCCCAGGCTTCCTGGTCAGTGGCCTGATGGACCCTGTCTCCACTTCCCTAGGGGCCGCAGCTCTGAGCTGCCCAGGCCACTTTCTGGTCCCTCTCCCTACCTGGCATCCCTGATTCACTTCAATGTGGCACTTTCTCTGGGCACCTATTCTATCCCTTTAGTAAGCCCCTGTAAGCAGTCACACAGAAGGCTGAGCCGAGGCAGCAGCTCTCCCCTGTTCACACGGTGGTCACCACACTGTGTGCACTATCCATGGCCTTGCCGATCATACATGGTCATCACGCCGTGTGCACTATCCATGGCCTTGCCGATCATACATGGTCATCACGCCATGTGCAGTCAACAGCCATGCCAACCACACATGGTCACCACACCATGTGCAGTCAACAGCCATGCCAACCACACATGGTCACCACATTGTGTGCACTATCCATGGCCTCTCCAACCACACATAGTCACCACACTGTGTGCACTGTCGACAGCCATGCCAACCACACATGGTCACCACGCTGCATGCACTATCCATGGCCTTGCTGATCACATATGGTCACAATACCGTGTGAACAACCCATGGCCTTGCTGATCACACATGGTCACCACACTGCATGGACTATCCATGGCCTTGCTGATCACACGGTCACCACACCGTGTGCCCTGTTGATGGCCATGCCAAACACACGTGGTTGCCACACTGTGTGCACTGTCGACAGCCATGCCAACCACACGTGGTCATCACGCTGCATGCACTATCCATGGCTTTGCTGACCACACACGGTTGCTGCACGGCATACAGTGTCAATGGCCTTGCTCACCACACATGGTTATTGCACGGTGTAGACCGTGGATGGCCTTGCTGACCACACATGGTTATTGCACTGTGTAGACCGTGGATGGCCTTGCTCACCACACACATGGTTATTACACTGTGTAGACCGTGGATGGCCTTGCTCACCACACACATGGTTATTGCACTGTGTAGACCGTGGATGGCCTTGCTCACCACACACATGGTTATTGCACTGTGTAGACCGTGGATGGCCTTGCTGACCACACACGGTGGTGGCTGCACTGTGTGTACTGCCGACAGCCCTGCCAACCACACACGGTCACCATACCGCGTGCACTGTGGACGGCCTTGCCCAGCACCTCCTACGCCCACAGACCACCTAGGCTCTCGGAGGCCAGCAAGCTCCAGTCCAGGCCGGGTTTCTAACAGCCTATGAGCTAAGAATGTTTTTTAAACTTTTACATGATTGGAGAAAATACAGAGAATATTTCATGATGTGAAAATTACAAGAAATTCAAATTTCAGTATCACGAACAAAGCTTTACTGGAGCCCAGCACGCTCACTCAGTTAGGCTGTCCATAGCTGCTTTGCACCACATCAGCTTTGGGTGGTGGCGATGGTGGCCGTATAGCCTGCAAAGCTGAACATTATTACCATCTGACACTTTACAGAGTTTGCCAACTCCAGGTCTAATAGAGCTTCCCCTGACTCTCTAGTTCGGATAATTTCCATTTAGGAATCTCCAAAGAGCTGTTCCTCCCATGTTCGGAACTTGAGGGGATTTGAAAAGGACGGAGTCCATGCCAGCTGTGCACAGCATGTTATCTGCCCAGAAGCATCATTGTCTTCCTGTGTGCTCTGACTGCTCTCTCTTATCACATCCAATTTGTACATGGGTCTCTCCCTCTCCATACACTATTAGCTTCTTTAGGTCAGATACCTAGTTGCCTTCATCTCTATCCCCAGTGCATAGCGTGGTGTCTGACACAAGGCTGGCAGACAAAAAGTACTGTGGTGTGCCCACTTTCTATTTGTTCGTTTTAAACTACCCTATTTGCCTGGAAGACAACTGAATGACTTTTAAAACCACATATGCCGGCCAGGTGCAGCGGCTCACACCGTGATCCGAGCACTTTGGGAGGCCAAAGCAAGAGGATCACTGGATGCCAGGAGTTCAAGACCAGACTGGGCAACGATAGTGAGACCCTGTCTCTACAAAAAATAATCTTAAAAAAAAGGTAAAACCACATATGTGATATTAATACCTTATAATATACTTTTTTCAAACAGGAAATAAAAAAATTGCACCTTATGGCACTGCCTCACATTCAGAGAATAGCACAGTTACACTATTTGATGGTGGAAGAACTGATTCCCATCTAATGGAACGTGCCTGTAAAGAAAAATAACTAATATTTCTAAACACACAATTATATCTTAATCCTAAAAATCCTACAGAGAAAAAATGATCTCCATTTTATGAGTAGGGAGACCGAGGCTTTGAGAATTGAAGCATTTGCCGGAGGTCACACAGAAGCAGGGTTCTAACACAGGTCTCATCTTTAAGACCTATATGCTTTATTCGACGGAGCACTGTCCGGATGGGTATAGCGTCTTTCATGGGTTCCCTTAGTGGAAACCAAGTCCAGAACCTTGGTGGAATCATAGTACCTCTTCTACTAATGGAATCCTTCCAGAGAGCGTCTTCCAGCTTTTCTGTGCGACAGAACCCTTTGGTTGTCTGGTGAAGCCTATAAACACCTTTTCAAAAGAAGACACATGCTACTTTATTCAAATGTGCAGTAGCAAGATCTAGGGGTGGGTTTAATAAAAATGTATTTCAGAGTATTGTGACAGCAAATAAAAATAGCTGATTTCTGAGGATGAGAAAGTCACAGATACTCACACTGCTGTTCGTTAACTATTCACAGATAAAGGAAAGGCTGTCTTTCGGTTAGAGCTTAGTGAAAAATAAAGATCTTTTATGGGTAGATGTGGTCTGTTAAGTCAGTGTACCAGGTATTGAGTGCTCACTGGGAATAATAAACCTTGTATCTTGAGAGCTAAACAAACCACAGCAAAGGCAAGGGGCTTTTTCCCTATGCACACTTGGGCTGGTGAGTTAACATATTATTAATCTCTGAAGTATTAAGTTTTAGTTGTTAAAGGAACTGACTCGTAGGATTTACAGAGCCATAGGATTGAACTTGAAAAATCCTGTGAGTGCACCCCTTGAATTGCACAGATGAGGACATTAGAGCTTAATTAAAATAGGGAAGTGATTTGTCTGAGTCTAATACCAAGGGGGACTAATGTAATTGATAATGTGTTACAAAATGCTGATATGTCAACAAATCCTGACACAATAAAGAAGTTTGTGGGCTGGGCACGGTGGCTCACGCCTGCAATCCCAACACTTTGGGAGGCCAGGGGCGAGTCAATCACAAGGTCAGGAGTTTGAGACCAGTCTGACTAACATGGTGAAACCCCGTCTCTACTAAAAATATAACAATTAGCTGGGCGTGGTGGCGTGCGCCTGTAATCCCAGCTGCTCAGGAGCCTGAGGCAAGAGAATCACTTGAACCCGGGAGGCAGAGGTTGCAGTGAGCCGAAATCGCCCCACTGCACTCTAGCCTGGGCCACAGAGCGAGACTCCATCTCAAAAAAAAAAAAAAAAAAAAGTTTGTGTTCCTCTTTCCACACACACACTTAAATTCTAATTTCTCTATTGTAATGTAATGAACTTAATCAGTACAGTGCATTGTTAGTGTGAATATCCAAGTGGATTTTTTTTAAAGAATAAAGGTCAGAGCTCAGAAACTGATGTTTCTAACGTGACTTAATAACAGAAGATCTTCATATCCAACTGTTTTGAAATGAAAATCTTTTCTAACTTGGCTAGTGTTTCAAGAATCAAGTAATATCAATGAATCTATTTTTCCCTCTGAAAAGGCACACATTTACAGGAGCCAAACTTCTTCCTCTTTATTTGTAATAACAAAAATAAACCGAAGTCCTGACCTATTTGTAGTATTTTTATTCCTAAAGGAAAAAACAGGAACTTTCATTGTACTTTAACATTAAAGTTATTACCTCAGATATTTTGCCAGTTTAGCACGGCAAAATCAGTTTCAGACAAAAGAGATCAACTGCTCTCTCTAGGAAATACTTAATTGGGGTGGTGCCTAGGAAATGCCCAGGGGTCCTGTGACGGATCGGTTTTTCCCAGAGGGTTTCTGCGGCATGGGTCCTGGTTGGACGGCAGGCATTCTGCTCTGATTTTTCCTGTTGCCTGGCTAGTGACCCCCTACAGGAAGATAACGGATAAGCCAGGAGGGCGGAGCAGCCCACTACACATGTCTGGCTGCTCTTATCAACTTATCATATAAGGAAAGGAAAGTGATTGATTCGGATACTGACACTGTAGGATCTGGGGAGAGAGGAACAAAGGACCGTGAAAGCTGCTCTGTAAAAGCTGACACAGCCCTCCCAAGTGAGCAGGACTGTTCTTCCCACTGCAATCTGACAGTTTACTGCATGCCTGGAGAGAACACAGCACTAAAAACCAAGTTTGCTACTGGAAAAAGAGGAAAGAGAAGACTTTCATTGACGGACCCAGCCATGGCAGCGTAGGAGCCCTGCGTTTTAGACGGCAGCAGCTCGGGACTCTGGACCTGTGTGTGCCTTCAAGTTTGCTAAGCTGCTGGCTTATTACTGAAGAAAGAATGTGGCAGATTGTTTTCTTTACTCTGAGCTGTGATCTTGTCTTGGCCGCAGCCTATAACAACTTTCGGAAGAGCATGGACAGCATAGGAAAGAAGCAATATCAGGTCCAGCATGGGTCCTGCAGCTACACTTTCCTCCTGCCAGAGATGGACAACTGCCGCTCTTCCTCCAGCCCCTACGTGTCCAATGCTGTGCAGAGGGACGCGCCGCTAGAATACGACGACTCGGTGCAGAGGCTGCAAGTGCTGGAGAACATCATGGAAAACAACACTCAGTGGCTAATGAAGGTAGGAAAAAAATCCATCTGTCTTTGTGAACAATCCATGCTATTAAGATCAGCTTGGCAGCAGCTCAGGTTTTAACAACCAAAAAAAAAAGAAGAAGAAGGATAAAGAGGATTAGAGCTGGAGAGCGGGTTGCTGGTACCCTCAAATGAAAGATCATTTCTTTTATTCTATCCCAGGGTGTGTGGGTAGTCCCCGGGGTGAAAATAATTATTTGGAAAGAATGCCAGAGTCAGTACAGAAAATCTCTAAAGTTAGAAATCTCTACTAACAAGGTAGAGGAAATACACTTCTCTGCACGACTTGTGTGCCGTTTTGTTTGTTTACATCGTTTAAGCTCAGTAACACCCATCACCACGGAGGTTCTCAGCTGGTTGCAGGCAAGTGAGGGAAGGCTGTGAACCACAGCAGCCCGCGAGCCAGGAAGACCGTGACAGGCATGCTGATGACCGAGGCATAACGGATGGAGTCAAGTGCTTTACCAATTTCCTGAATTTATTTACTAAAATAGGTTGTGACTCTCGGTAAACGAGAGGAAATTAAATAAAGCAGACCTTGTGTTTCTCAGAATCTCAGGGCCCTACCGCTAAGGGCTTTTGCCGTCTGTAAACAGGGGCACATTTCCCAAGCGTCCCAAAGGTATTCAGCACTGCAGCCCCCATCAGTTCCAGCAACCAGTGCGGCATGCGTCCCCACGTGGGACGGTTATGTCCAAGTCATGCCACGACAGGACGATCTGACAGTTTGTTCTTGGGGTGATTCCACTGTTTCACAGATGATCCCACTGTTTCTTAGACTTTTTATGGAGATGTAACCAAAATAGGATATTGAAAGCTCTGTTTTTCTTTCACAAATAATTTTTTTTACATGTAAACATGGGAGCTATTTATATAAAACCCAAAACGACCCTGGAATGTTCTTTATATGGACTATATGTATTCTAAAGGAAGTTTAAACGAAATGCATACATTAATTGTTAAGTAGCATGATGATGCCATTACATCACAATGTTTACATGGCAGGGAATGTGATTATCTAAAGGTATATAGTCTTTTAAAAGTTGGTAAGCCTCATTTGACACGTTACCCTAGAAAAGCACAATTATTTTCTCACTCTTTCATTTCACCATAAGCCTTTTGTTAGGACACCTTATCTGAATCTCAGAACGGATTTTGGAGCCTAATCTGTGCTTCTCATTACCTCCCCTACCTTCAGAGAGAAAACAACTAAGTTATTATTTGAGTCATGAGCTTAAACGAATCAATGTGAATGAATGTTCCCAGCACCACTGGTTACTGTGTCAAGAGGCGTCATTGAGAACAACAAAAACTTACCAAAATGACCTACCAAATACAGATTTCATGTAATATAAAACTCACTAGCAATGTCTTTTTAAGCTCCTGGCTAAGTGCTCCAGTAAGTTTCCCTCCTTTCCCAGGTCACTGTGGTGTGCTTTTAAACATCTTCTAAAATTCATAGCTGTGTAAATAATTATGCTAAGCTTAAAAAGTATGCAGCAACACAGGTTGAAATATGTGGAAGGCAAACTATATCCTAAATATCTGCTTAACTTGAACTTCCTATTTCTTTGTAAATTGTCATGCTGATGTCTAATGACTTTCCCACATCTACCGTGGTTACAGAGTCACAGTGAGGGATGAAAGACGCATTGCAGTAAATATTCTAATCTGCCCGACGGGCAAGTCATCTCCTAGAAGAAATGGCCAGGAAATATAAAAGACTGCTTTGCTAAATGCAAGGCTGCTAAATTGTATTTGCTTAATTAAGCCTACGTTAGGTATACCTGAAACTCCATAAGCAAAGCTCATATTTCTTTCTTAGGTAAACTACCTCTTCTGTTGGGTCTTTGAGATAAAGACAGAAAAAGACAAGGAATTCTATGTTAGGCGACCAAAATTTCTTCCTTTCCAGGTTCACTTGGTCAATATTTGAACAGCAGTATCACAATGCTATTTCAAAAGTCCGTCTTCAGCTGTCTAGTTAAATACCGTTTCACCAAGAATGACTTAATGTTTATCTTTGCACGAGCTCCACACCTGTTCTCCCAGCCTATCTCAGCGATGTGCACCTGAGAAAGGCAATTTGCACTCTCGCTTGGTTTACAGGCTTCTTTTGGGAATGAAAACAAAAAAGCAAAGATGAAACCCACTTAAAGTGATTAAATGTAACCTCTCTGTTTGTGCTTCTCCTGTGTTTTGTCACCTGTGATAATAAACACTGATTTTCTCATGAGGAAGAAAATAATATAAAATGGAATGATAGATAAGCCACACAGTTAAAGGGTCATCATTACAACCTAACACCCACTGATTTGATTAGCACAGAAAGCAGCAGCACAATTCTGTGTTTTTCATGGTTTTACATATTTTCTTTTGAGCTATTTTTTGAAAAAAAAAAAAATGTTTCCATATCTCCTTTCTCTCCTGGATCAGCACTAAAAATGAAAGATTGAAAAACAACCCACTACAAAATCTGTACACTTTTAGGAAATTAAAACACTTGTCAGGAAGGAAATTAAGACCAAGTTTCTGGTTCATTTTAGGGCAAATAAATAGTAGTTCAACCTCTGAGTGGTCAGCATAGCCTAGGGAGGTTCGACTAAGAAAGCAGGTTTCACATCACCAAAAGGTCCCACGCTGCCCCTTTTATCTGTCCGGCAAAGGAAGTGTCAGGCTTCTGAATGAACTCAGAGGAATATGAATGGAACAATACAGGACAGCTCACTCGCTGTGTAGTAGTTAAACAAGGATAAAATAAATTCATGATCGCTAGCACATGAAACACACTACAATGGACCAAAGACTACTCATGCTACGTCTCTCTTGCTAATCCTGCAACTAGTCTGAACCTCTGCCCTGGTGATATTAAACACACTTTATAAAAACTCACAAATAATTTAGCAAAACGGATTGTATTTTGTTAGGAGACCAAAGGGATGTTTTTTTCCTGATAAGAGGAAATATGGAAAGGAAATAACTATTTCACACTGATGAGTGCCTCATACCTATAAACAACTGCAAGTCTCTGAACACTTTAAAACAGAATGATTTGAAAAATAAACTTGATGCCTACTACGGATGCAAACATTTCCTCTGCCATCTTTTTTGTTTGTTTGTTTTTTAAATGACACAAGAACAGGCTGGAAACTGTAAATGTGAATTGCAATCCTTTTCTTTCTTTAAAAGTAATAACAGTATATCTTTTTAATAAGATGTGATAGCTACTACTCATGAATCAATGCATAGGAAACCATGCAGTTATGCTCTTCAAACATAGCTGCTGTCACTGGGAGAAACGGATGGTGAGAGGCTCGTAGAGGAACCCAGCCCGCCAGCCCCACCCTGCCCTTGCTAGGGACTGTGTGTGTGTGTGCGTGTGCATGTGTGTGTGTGTCTGTGTGGCTACAAAACACTCATTAGCTGTATATTAAAACAACAACAATAAAACCCAGGGCTTGGTTCATTAGAGGAAAGAAAAAAATCCCATCCCATTCACAGCCACTGGTCTCTTGTGATAGTGGAGGACAAGAACCATTACTGTATCCGCTGGCTACATCCTGAGTGGTGAAATATGATTGTGCTCAGTGTTAGTATTACTATATAGTAAGGAATGCAGTAAGGAATGTAGAAGAGACAGTTTCACTATGATGGGGAAGTGCAATATATTTAATTTTGGAAAATACAAATATAGTTTACTATATCTCTTATGCAATATGTGTATGTGTAGTACAATATGTGCCTCTACAGTATATAAAATATATAAAATATAATACATGTTTACTCTATGTGGATTATATATTATACATATATCATTTGTTTTCTGTGGTCAAGTAGTCTTTGTTTACTATACGGCGTTGTCTGAGATACTGGATTAACTAGTCAGATATCATACTATTTGCTTGCAGAGTCTAGAACTAGGAAATGGATTTCCATAATCTTACCTTCTACTGAGACACCAGATAATCCATTTAGTCTCAATACTGAAGTCTGAAATTTTTCTGATTTTAATCAATTTGGCTCTTTACGGTTGTCAAACAGGTTGTAATCCACAAGTGTATCTGTAATCCACAAGTGTACATGGAACTTGAGAAGGATAATCGTCTTATCAGTGGTGATCAGATGCTCAGGATGGTCCATGGTGCTTATTTTAATCCATAAAATAACTAAAATTTTGTATATTTAAAATGGAAAAACAAGAGTTCAAATCAACTCTACCATCATGGGAGTAATTTAAAAAATAAAACAAAAATATTTTGAAAGATATGGGCAAGGTAAAAAAAAATGTCAGGCTATTGAAATGGTGGAAATAGGAAGCAGATTCTCCTTCCCCAGTCTTCCATCCCTTTCTTGGAGATTAGCACTCAGAGATTTCTTTTACCAGTCCTTTATTTAAAATGCCAAATTTAATATCAAATGTACAGCTTTCCTTCTTTTAAAAACACATACAGTGGCATTTGTAGCATAATCAGGACCTTTCCTGGCCCACAAATGACATGACAAGAGGTTGGAAGGAAGATTGTATTTAGGAACAAAGAGCAACATTTGAGAGATTGAGGTAAAGGAATAAAGGTGTGTGTGGGGGCAAGGGCAGGAGAGACAGAGACACCACCTGTGAGGGGATCAGTCAAGATGAGGAAAAGAGGGAGAATGTGGCACAACTGTTTTGACAGGGAAGAAAGGAGGTGGTTTATATCTTTCCATATCTGGCCACAAAATGACAGCACGGCCTGGACAGCTTTGTGGATTTCCTGAGTTGAGATCAAGAGGATGCATACAATGAATCATGAACATGGACAGACTGTTTTCCAATTAGCTGTTCACAATTTGCAGGATGTTTACGGTACTTAATGGCAAGTCAGCAGGCAAACCAGTCTCTCTCCCCCTGTATATATGTATGTTTGTGTGTGTGTGTGTTTACACACATACACATATCATATTAAATGCACAAAATATAGATTTGTTCTATAGGATAGTCCTGTAAGA